TTCAGAATTTTAAAATGATTGAGTTTAAAGGTTGAAACTTACAATCTAATGATGTTGTGTGATGAAAAGACTCTGAAAAATGATTTAACCAACTCAGAGAGGAAGGCTTATCTCGAAGATCTAGAGTTGATAATCGTTAGAGGTGTTTGAGTTCAGTTAAGATTGAGATAAAATCGAAGGGATTGAAACAGATTGGATAAGTTTGGTTTGACAATCTTGATTGGGAAAGTTAAGTTTGAAGGTTTGAATTTGGATGAAAAGTTTGAAAGAATGACTTTGAAAAGTTTGAGTTGGAAGGACCCCTAGACTAAGATGATAGAATTGGGCAAGAAAGATTTCTAGATCGAGTAAAACCCTAATTCTGAAATAAACACAGACTCTATAAAGAGCCTAAGTAGGTAGACTAAGCTTAATTTTTGGCATGATGCCCTCAGTTAGAATGCCCATGACTTTTCATCGTCTCGGGTGCATTTGTATATTTTAATTATTAACCAGTCATATAATCAATAATCTTCACTCGACGCCATAACAAGGACAAGGATGGAATTTCTTAGGTAAAAGTCTTAGAGGTGCTGTTGTCCGTAACCTTGATTCACTTCATCCTTGGGCACCTATGTAAGTTTCAAGAGTTAAAGACTGTTTTATAGGTTATTGTCTTTGACGCTGACTAGGTACCTAGTAGTCGAATCTAGGCTTCTAAATTAGACTAGTCTTCTTATGTATAATCTTGGGTTTTGTTTCTATGTTGGCTAACCTTAAGGTTTACAGTTGATCTACCTAGTGGTGGCTGACATTAATTTAGTTGGTGTATTTTAAATTTTTTTTTTGCGATTTGATATTTAATGCATGATTTGTTTGAACTCTTATGTTTGTTGGTCATTGTGATAATCAGAGTATTTTAGGTTTAATGCTTTGCATTTGATTTTTTGGTCTAAGTTGGCATCTTTCGTTTCATTTTATCCTTAAGTTCAGTTATTGTGAAGTCTCATATTAAAGTTCATATGTCACTTGCAAGCTTATGTAATTTATGGTTGAAGTGCTTTTTGAAGATTTTTAAAATTTTCAAATACCTTAAGGTTTTAAAATGTTTTAAATTGTATGAGTCTAAAATTTTATATTAAAGAGTTTAAGGCTTTTAAAGATTCAAAAAGTTTTAAGTTAATTTTTAGTGTTTAAGTTTTTTTAAGTTACTTTATTTGGTTTAAAGTGTTTTGAAATTTTATTTGGGCTTAAATTTTTTATATTTTAAGTTATTTGGTTTAACCATTTGAAGTGTTTTAATATTTTAAGTTATTTTATTTTAATTGGCCTAAAGTTGATTTTAAGTTCTTTTGTTTAAAAAGTTTTGATATTTTATTTGGTTTAAATGTTTTAAGAGTTTAAGTAATTTTGTGTTGCTTACAGTTTTTTCAATAATTTAAAATTAAGTTTTGCTAGATTATTTTAAGGTGTTTAAAGGTTTTTAAATTATTCTATTTTGGTTTTAAATTATTTTAAAAAGGTTTTCAATTATTTTTTTTTTATTTTTATTTTATAGTAAATTATTTTACACAGGTTTTGAATTATTTTATTTAGGTTTTAAATTTATTTTTAATTATCTATTGTTTTTTTATTTTTAAATTTTTTTAAAGAGATTTTAAATTGTTTAAAATATTTTATTTCATTTTTTTAATGCTATTTTAATTGTTATTTTGTTTTAGAAGTTATTTTCATTTTTAAATCATTTTTAAGTTATTTTAAGTTAATTTAATTTTTCTTAAGTTGATTTAATTTTATCTGATTTTAAAAGTCATCTTCATTTTTAAATTGTTTAAAGATCATTTTGAGTTGTTTTGTTAGTTTTTTTTATTTATATTTATTTTAGATGTCCTTTTTTATTTTTAAATTTTTTTGAGTTTATTTAAATTGTTTCAAATTTTATTTATTTTGTTTTTTTTAAAGTTATTTTCATTTTTTTAAATTGTTATAATTTTATTTAAATTGTTTCAAAAGTTATTTTGTACTGTTTTTTGTTTACTTAAAGGTTTTAATTTTCATTTAAAATTGTTTTAAACCACGTTTAAAAGTTTTTAACCGCACGTGCTTGCTAATGATATTTTATTTAGAATATTCACAAAGTGAACCTACATATGTGGTTTTCTCTTCTTTTTTTTCTTAATTGATAAATTATTTATTTTCACATGCTTTGACATAAGGAATTATATGGGTGGAAATTACTCAAACTTTTCATGTCTTGAATACAAAGAAGAAAACATGTGAAAATCTAAACTTTTCATGTTTTGACTTAAGATGTAATACATGGAGATTAACCTAAACTTTTTATGCTCTGACATAGTGACAAAGGCATGGAGAAAAACCTACACTTTTCATGCAATGACATAGTGAAATTGACACGCAAAAAACCTACACTTTTCATGCTTTGGCATAGTGAAGAAGACATGGAGATTAAGCAAAGCTTTTAATGTTTTGTCATAGTGAAATAGACATGGAGAAAAACCTACACTTTTTCATACTTTGGCATAGTGACGAGGCATGGGGAAAAATCTACACTTTTCATGCTTTAACATAAAGAAGAAGACATTGAAGAAGTCGTTGAAGAGGAAGAAGTGGATTAAAGAAAAGGAATACGGAGAAGTGAAGAAGAGATGAGGAGCGAGGAGAAGAAGAGTGGAGGAGAAGAGATGAATAGATGAGAAGTGGAGAAGAAGAGATGAAGGGATGAGAAGCAAAAAGGATAGAAGAAGAGGAAGTAGGAGAAGAAGAAGAGGAAGACAGATGTTGAGGCTTATAGTGGAGTATGCAGGAGGACACTTGAAGGGAGTAGGTAGATTGAGGAAGCACCTACCAACCAAGGGAGAGAGGGAGGAGAGGAGAGCAGAGGAAGGTAGAATGCAGAGAGGAAGTCTGAACAGAGTCCCTTTTTGGAGGTGAACAGGTCCTTCATATAGAGTGGAGAGGCGACCACATCGAAGGGATGCATTGCTTGGCACATGAAATCTTGCGAGAGTCCCTTAGATCGCCAACGGCTTGGTCATGCCGCCAACTCTGGCTGGAGGGCATATTTACACAATCTTCCTGCATGATCACACCATATGAGAGGCTCTGATGTAGCCATGCCATTACTGATGTTGTTACGTCTGGGGTGGCACAGCCACACCAGATGGTGGTGTGGTTATGCTGGCCAAAGCTCATGTTTGGTGGCGTTTTGGCTTGTTTCGAGCTCAAAAACCTTGCCAACATTGAATGTCTTCTCATGGGAGGATGGGTGGTGGTTTTGATCAATAAGTGCTTGATCAAAAGTGTTGCCAACAAGATAGAATAAGATAGAATATCTTTGTACTAAAAGACTTATTCTACTGTTTGGAGTCACTCAATAAATTCATCTGATTCTATAAGACTGTCAAATTCTAGTAAACGAATCTTTACTCCAATGACATTATCCATTTTCACATACCCTAGCCAAGTTAGCTTGACATTGGATTTTCATCACTTGAGGCTTGTTGGTGGAAGAGTTTTTTTTCATCTTTTACTTTCGATTGGTCATCATTGTTTCTATGGGTGACCTTGTTATGTTGTCTTTTTTCAAAATTAACGAGCCTACGCTGCAAATGAAAAATTTCTCGCTGCATATTCTTAATGGTAAGCTCTTGAATATTTTCTTTTATATCTCTTTCGCAACATTGTGATTTGCTCCTCACTTAGGATTTCAACCTGGGAAATGGTGTAGGTTTTAGGGTTGACCAAAAGTCTTAAGGTTTAGGTGGCGAGTGTATGGTAGAGGTAGAAATGTTAAATTTTGTAAATTTATTATTCAAATTATAAAATTTGAATCAACGAGGAGATATAGGGTAAGGTTAAAAAGTGGGATTAGAATTTAGCTTTGATATCAAATATCACTGGTTTAGGATTTCTAGATGTTGCATGAGGATTGACACAATGTTTAATAATGTTTGTAGAATAAAGAGGAGAAAAAATAAGAGTTGGTTATGATTCAAAAGAGAGAAGAGGCGAAGATTTCTGTACTGGACGAAAAATAGGAAGGAGGAAGAGTCCGTCAGCTTGGCTGGTGATATACAGATGTCTGGAGGTTGCACCACCCAATCTTGATCTAGATACAAAATCTCTACTGGAAGAAGAAAAATGTTACAACAATCCTATGAGCAAGTAATTTGAGAAAATAATCTCCAAGTGCATAAATGAAACCAGAAGTCATCTAATAGGATTTAGACAACATATTTATAATAAAAACTCTAATTTTGTTTCCATTAAAGCACAATAGGCCTCCTCAAGGGCTGGGCTGCCCCTGTGGTCTTGAAATAATCCCGTAACGGGATGTCTGGGATGGGAATCCTGTCCTCGTCCTCACCTCCTGAACCTGCTTGGGCAGGGGTCCTGCTCACGCGTCAACTAGCAGTTTGCCAAGTGCTCGGTAAAATGCTTTTAGTGGTGACTTAATTATAGATTTGATGTTTATTCAATATTATCATATCAATTTTCTTTTATCCTAAACACTTTGTATATTATTTGAAGTATAAATATGGTGCAGATATCGAACAAATTGTTAAATGTATAGAATGTTTTTTAGTAAATATTTGAACTTCCTCAAATAATATTAATAGTACTTGGTGAATTATGCCAATTTTAATTATAACTTATAAATCCATTTCTGATTAGTAATAAGAATTTGTGTTTGATCTGTCCGCATCGAACATATCATTAGATAAGCTGGATTAAAGTTTGATTATTGTTCAAATTCGACAAGGAATCTATTAACTAGTTTGAATAAGATTTTAAATCTCGGATCATGCTAAAACTCTTTTTAAACTCAATAAGAAAATAAATGAACGTGCTTGAACACAACAGTACTTGGCTCAACTTGTTTCATTTATAACCCTTTTAGTCATGAATTTAGGGGTTATATTTTATTGTTAATCTTTGTGTCTGTTATTTTATATGGGCATTTTGTAATTAATCATCTCAAAATTCTTAGTTTTTCGCAGAGAAGGCGAGCTTTAGAGGAATGGATAGGAAAGCTGCTCTGTGACATTGATCTGTCAAGAAGTGCTCCTATTGCTACTTTTCTTGAGCTAGAAGCAGCTGCAAGGTCATGTATGTGCTACTTATAGAATTTGAATAGAGCATTGTTCATCTCGTTTTGAATTCCAGCCAATCACTTATGTTTTACTGGTGCACATCTAGCTTATTTCATGTGGCTGTTTGAAAGCAATTCAAGCATTAATATTGCCTTTAAGGCCATGTTTATTTGAAACTTCCAGGATATAAACTTACCTACTTTGCTTAATCATTATTCTTTCCAGCGTTTGTGCTTGCCAATGGGCTCCCTTCAGAAGCAAGCACCTCAGTAGATGCTGCAACTGTTTATCCTAGAAGATCCAGTTCCAGTGCCTCTGCAGAATGTTCAACTATAGCTTCAAATGCTCAATCGATAGCCTCAGATGCCTCTAGTGACATTACTTGCAATAAATTTGATGCTGGTACTCTTCAGAAAATAATTCTTATAAATTTGATTTTTTCTTTTTTTAGTTCAATTTTTTATTTACAATTTAATTGCACTCAATAGAAGAAATCAATAATGGTATCATGGCGGTGGCTGCAATGTTTGACCAGCCAGAGGACTTGTTTAACGCTAATTTGCCTCAAAGAAAAGACGGTCCTCATTCTGGATGCGATTCATCTTACAAAAGTTCTTCCAAGCAGATGTTCATTCAAAGCGAAATAGTTGATTCCAATGCAAATCTGGATCATGACAAGCTTTCTTATCATTCTAGGAGGCTTTCCAGTGATAGCATTGGTAGTGATGCAAGTTCTATTCGTGCCAGTGAACTGTTAATTCCTGGAGCTACTAGCTTAGTTTGGGATGGTTCTGTTACTTTTTCTGATGGCGTTTTATTTCCTAGTACCATGGAAGCTTCAAGTATTGCAGAAACACAGTTTGCAAATGATTTGCAGATTATTCTTCCTATTGATCAGCGACAGAAATTGAACCGAGTTCTCCTTACTATGCAACGAAGATTAGCAACAGCCAAAACAGATATGGAGGATATTATAGCACGATTAAATCAAGAATTAACCATTAAAGAGTACCTTACAATGAAGGTCATCTCTGTACATTATCTTTTTCAACTTCTTGGCTTATTCTTTCTAGCTGGGTGGTATTGTTGTAACAGATGTTGCGATGTTTATTTTCAGTTGGTTGCATATGTTTGTAGCAATTTTCAAATTTTAACTTGGTAACAAAGGCGCAAACTGTCTATTGCTTGCTGATATTGAAATATTTACATGTAGGTAAAAGATTTAGAGGTGGAGCTTGAAGTCACTAAACAGAGAAATAAAGATAATCTTCAGCAAGCCATCTTACTTGAAAGAGAAAGATTCACCCAAACTCAATGGGATATGGATGAACTTCACAGGAAGTATCTAGAGTTGGAATCAAAACTCAAGTTTGAACAGGTTTTCTTTCCACCTCCATTCTCTATATTTACTTTATTTTTTATTATACTTTTACTAATAAATTATTCTTTTTTCGTTAATATTTTTGTTATAATGCTTGTACCAGTGTAAAAAAACTTGTGTAGAGTCGGAAAACACAACTGCAAGTAACGAGAATGATATTTTAAACCAAGAGCTGTCGACAAAACAAGAGCAGATTACTAATCTGGAAAGGCAGCTAGATCAGCTTGAGATGAAATCAAAGGCTGATATTAAAGTTCTTGTGAAAGAAATTAAGTTTCTTAGAAACTCTCAAGAAGAGCTGAAGAAAACGCTAGAACAGTCTGCCATTGAAAATGATGACTTGGAGGTAATGATTTCGGTGTTCCATGATAAAGATTCATTTCCTTATCATCTGCTTAAGTGGTTCTTTCCAGCTATTTCTGCTTGAACCTTTAATATAACTATATTTGGTCTGGTCCAGATTCGGCGGTCTACATATTCACCAGTTATAAGAAAGTCAACCACAATGCAAATACGACAATCCTATGATTAGGTTCATGTATTTATGAAGTAATGATACACCATGGAAAAAAAAAACTCGAGGTAGTAGGCAGTCAACTCCTTTAACTCGTTAGGTAATAGTGGAATTGCCTCATTTATCCAGAATTAGTTAGGTTGCTGGACTGAAACTATACCACCACGAAAAATTGTGATTATTTCTTAATTTAGCCACCATGGCCTTGCGTGAATAAAATTATTGAATACTGCTCTTGTTTATTTTGAAAATACAAGTTAAGTTGTGGCATTCTATTTATTATTTATTCTTCCAGTTGTGTTAGCTTAAATAGCCGATTCTCTGTTACATCTAGTCATGACATCTGAAATAATTTCTCATCCACTTCTAATTTTTTCTGATAAGATTGTCATGTAAAAAGAAAGGCTTTTCTTTCAAAAAGTCTATGCATGCTATAGAAATCCTGAAATTAAGAGAACTGAAGGCTGCAGCTAACATCCCATAAATTTAGAATGCACCTGTTAAATCTACAATCAACTCCCTAATAATCCCAAGAATCACTCAATCTGCTGACCTACATGTCTCCAGATATATCATCAGCTCTCTTTGTAGCCTCCTAGTTATAGTCCTGCTAATTGCTGCTCTACAATCAGCTCTAACAAATATTTTGGCCAATAAGAACATGTTTGGTGGTTCACCACTCCTCTCCCTGCTGGAAAGCTACTCCTGCTGTCAGCCAATCCTTTCCCTGCTGGAAAAAACTGATCTTGCTACTCTTTGCTAACCTTTACTTGTAATGGAGTGCCACACCCAGGTTTGGATGGCGATACACTCTGGCAACGCAAATCATGATGAAATAAATTAAACCGGTTTTGTATTATCAAAAGGAAAATTATATGCAAATAACAATAGGAATAAACAAGAGAATATTAATGTTCTTCGTAATTAATAATCCACTGATACAACTGAAAGAAAAACAGAAAACTAACTAAATCAAAACTGAAATGACTATAGGGACGACTACCCCAACCCAAATTGAAAATTATAATAACTAAAGTAAATACTGAAAAATATCAATAACAAGAAATTTAAATCTGAAAAGTCTACTTTTATGGAAACGGTCATGCTAGTGGCTAAATAGAGTCTGTTATGTAAAAATATCTATCGAGTTACGAGCAAATTTAGTGACTAACAATTATTTATTAAAGTATGAATGAGAAGAAAAATTGGGCATGCAATATGAACAACACGTAGGGACGATTATTACGTGCATATATAATATAATAATGTAAGAGGAGAGCGATAAACAAAATGTACTCAATTATCTTAAAGAACATGCAATCATTTCAAATTTGATCCAGTTTTTTATTATTTAGTTTCTGTTTATATTTGTATAGTCGGTTTTAACAGACACTCTAAAATTGGGAAACTCGGTATCATCCCAAGGAAAGTCGAGCATTTTCTGTAGATTCGTTACTCTCTAGGCACTTCAGCCTGGCTAGCTCATATCTAAAAGTGTTACACCAACCTATACACTATTACACATAAGCATACCAAATTTATCACATGTATAATCTGTAAAAGATATGATACTTCACACAGGCTTGTAATATGAATTTACATGCCATTTCATAAAGATAGCGTGCATACAAACAAAATATTATAACTGCAAGATTTATTCATATATGTGGGAGTTTTGCAGCAATAAAGTCAATAGAGATTTTAGCATGAACATAAATTGAGGCTTGAAACTATGCAAAATAATAATTATAATTGAATTAGCAAGGGCAAAATTGACAATCTTATAAAATAACAATGAATCTAGTACGACCAACAACAAACCCCCCCCC